ACACCAAGAGTGACAAGAGAGAGAGAGAACACATGACTATCTAACACAATTTCAAAAAGAAAATGAATTCAATGAAATTAGTTTAGAATATTTAAGAAATGAATTGATGAAAATTACAAAAGAATTAAATAATTCTTCAAATATTTCTATTCAACAAAATTCACAACCGTTCATTAATGATATTTCAATTATTTCGTCAATAAGTAAGATTTTAAGAAATAATTCCTAACAGAATAATTCTCATTCTCTAAGAATTTATGTTAAAAAACTATAAAAACAAAGAAACGGGATGACAAAGAAGATAAAAACAGAATTGGATTATTTTCAAATTTTTATTTAACAAAATCTTTTCTTTTCAAATTAAATATTCATCAATTTGTTTCACAAATAAACTATCTTTCAATAAAAATAATCTTTCTCTTCTAAATTTCGATTTAAAAAATAATAAATTTCAAATTCTTTTTTCTTTTCAAAACAATTTATTTTTACTTTCCAAATATAAAACTTCAAATGGGTTAATGTTCTTGTTCAATAAAATTCATCTCAAAATTTAGCAAAAAAAATCTAATAAAATTTGTCTTTCTATTGAACTTGTTTAGCAGCATTTCATGCAAAATTAATCTTTTCTTTTTTATTTTTGCTCTTTTCTAGAACCAAAATTCAACAAATGGAAACAAAATGCCATCACTGTGGCTGCTGGAAATGGACAAGGGCAAAAATTAAATCAACTCAATTGCCCCGAAGCAATCTTTATTGATAAAAACAAAAATATTTTCATCGCTGATTCATCTAATAATCGTGTCGTTGAATGGAAATATAATGCAAAAGAAGGACAAATTATTGCAGGTGGATATGGCAAAGGAAATCGAATAGATCAACTGAATGAGCCAACAGATCTGATTGTTGATCAACAAAATCATTCGATCATCGTTGCTGATTCTGAGAATAGAAGAGTGATTCAATGGTCGAAACAGAATCAACAAATTCTAATCGATAATATTGACTGTTGTGGATTGGCAATGGATAAAAATAGATTTCTTTATGTTTCTGATTATAAGAAGAATGAAGTGAGACGATGGAAAATGGAAGAATATAAAAATGAAGGAATTGTAGTAGCAGGTGGAAATGGACAAGGAAATAAATTCAATCAGCTCTATTCTCCAGGTTTTATCTTTGTGGATGCCGCTCAATCTATTTATGTATCAGATGTGAACAATCATCGTGTAATGAAATGGGAAAAAGATGCAAAAGAAGGCAGAATTGTGGCTGGAGGAAATGGTCAAGGAGGAAATCTCAATCAATTGTATTATGCTCAAGGAGTCATTGTTAATGATTTAGGTCAAATCTATGTGGCAGATTATCAGAATCATCGAGTCATGCGTTGGTGTGAAGGAAAAGAAGAAGGTGAAATTGTTGTTGGTGGAAATAATCGAGGAAATCAATTGAATGGCCCCTGTGGCTTATCTTTTGATGACGAAGGAAATCTTTATGTTGCTGATTTTTCGAATCATCGAATTCAAAAATTTGAAATAGTTTTGTGAATGAAATTTTGATTTTGAAACAAAGAAAGGAACTTTTTTGTTGAATAAATAATCGAGAAATAAAAATAAAAGAAAAGGTGAAGTTTTATTGTTGAAAATCAATGAAAGAAATAAATTAAAATTTGAAAAAAATGACATTTTGACAAAAGCATGTAGAAGAATCTTTCTGATTTTTTTCTTGAAAAAAGAATTAAATTTGATAATTTTGATTAAAAAATTTCAGTAAATAAATGTTAAATTCTTCATCTTTTGTTGTTTTTTGTAGAATTTTATCAAAGATAAGAAAAGAATTTTTTAATTTGAATTAAGTTGAATTCTATTAAACAAAAGAAATATTGAAAACGTTTTTCTTTAATTGATTAACGAATTTTCGATAAAATTTATTGTCTGATTTTAAAAACATTTTTAATAAAAAATGATTTATCAAAACAAAATGTTTTTTTTTCGTTATTTGTCTTCATTTGAAATGTTTTATTAGATTTCTTGAGAGTGTGGATTGAGCGATTATTGACACGAACACTCTCAAGATGTTTTTGCTCAAAGATGATATCTTAGAACAGTACGTATGAAATGTGTTCGTACAGAAAATAAGTGTTCTGAACATTCTGATTAATAGTAAAAAAGATTTAATAAATAAATCATTCTTTTTTATTTTTTCAAATCAAATATTTATTTATTCTTTTAGAAATGCATTTATCATAAAAATACAAACTAATTAATAATACGATAATTGGAAAATAATATTAAAATCTTCATATCAGTGATGTACCATTAGATAATTGACCAACACTGAAAAAAATCATTGTATTTGAATGATAGATAAATAATTAAACATTGAGATACATACAAAATAAAATATTCAATTTTTTAAATGAATACTAAAATTCTGTTGGGGTTATTTAGTAATATATATACCATTTAACCTATGTTTCATGTCTATAAACTACTTGAATATCAACGGAAATGTTTCATACCGTCAAATTGAATTTTATAAAAATATTCCGAGAAAAATTTATGTAATTTTTTTGTAATTTACAATGCAAACTCGTCGGTTCTCTTTTTTTCTATTCATGATTATAGTCGACTTATTTGAAACTGCATAAAGAAGGTGTATGATATACGAAGAAGGAAATTAAAGTTTGACTAAGTATATTCTTAAATAATGGGATCCATATGGTTGACAGATAAAAAACAATAGTAACGCATTCTTTTTCATTTTCTATAGAAAATTTAATCATTTCAAGAAACAAAACTTGTGTTATTGTGTTATACGTTCTTCATCTGATTATTGATTTTTTTTCTATGTTGTCGTCTACCACTTGTCATTCGTTTATTCTTAAAATTAATTATAACGATCATTATGATTCATGAAGGAAATGGACGTCTGAAGATAAGGAGTGAGTCTCTACAAATAGAAATTCATTTAGTTTTTTCTGTTTTCATAGAGAAACAAAAAAAATATGATTCGACCGTGAAATAAAAAGAATGTGAGAAAATTTCTTTGCATCTTCTCCTACTCTCTCTCATCGTTTTCACTTATTATTGTGTGCAAACTTTCTTTAAATTACCTTTTAACTTTTATTCTCTTTGTTTTAGAAAATATTTCAATTATTAAACATATTTTAAATCATTACTTAGTCGGCAAAGTTTAAAGGTAAGTGTTTCATTGTTGAGTGAGAACTCACTTTGAAATGGCGTCATAAAAAATATCAGTCGTCTTCATCTCACTCTTGTAATAACATTCAATTTGTTTTGTACGTTTAAGGAATCATCAGATTACTAACTTTTCAACATATGTTTTTTCGTTGTTATTTGTCTACTATTTGAAGACAGAGTAGAATTAGTTATTATTAGTTTCATATTAAATTAATATTTTTATTAATGAAATTCATTGATGTGAATAAAATAATTTGAAAGAACGTCATTCGAAGATACGAGAAATTAAGTAACCCTTTGAGACCCACAATTTAATTTACGGACGAAACCTCTTAAAAACTTGATATTTTGTATGAGCATTGAGTATTATCGACATTTCCATTGATACTTTAAAAAAATATTTTAAGTCATTTTTAACTTTTAGCCGTACCCCCTATGGGAATGATGAGAAATATTTTAGCCACTTCCTTGGAGGCATACGAACGGGAGCCTAAAAACTGACTCAGTACGATTTTTAATCTCGCACAGATATGTCTTAACTACGAACATTTGTTAAATATATTCGAAATTTTTTGAAAACTAGAA